CGCCGCCGCGCTTGCCCGGAGCGGCTGCTGCCGCCGTGCCGCGGCTGGTGGTGCTTGCTTCCCCGCGGCCCGCTGTTTACGGCGTATGAGAGTTTTACGGTTGGGGCGCCGCGTCCGTCCCATTATTTGAATATTGCGCGCCCTTTTGGGGCCGCGCCTTCTCTTATCGGCCGCGGCCAGCCCGGCCTGTAACGCGGGGGTATAGGAGCGCGTCGTGGTTGAATGGGCCCGCCTGAACGCCGGGTAGCGGCAGTTCTTCCCCTCCTGTAACTCGGGGTAGCGGCGTGGCCCCACCCGCTGCTGCAATCCCTCCCATAATCGTCCCGGCTGTCACTGCGGATCGGCCGCTCACCGCTCAGCCTCGCCTCCCCTGGGGGACAACGCCGAGGCGCGCCTCTCTCCCACCAAAGTTTGTCAATACCCCTCGTCGCGCACTGGCGGACCCAATGGGGCCCAGGAGGCCGACGGGAGGGACGCAGGGACGCCAGGGGATGCTCTAGTCCTGGCCGCATCACCACCACTAACCAACAACCACCATCACCTCCACCCACCACCATCACCACCACCAATGGATCAAAAACTGAATTTTCATTAGAATTTTGACGGAAAGAAACAAGAATTTAAAGAAATAACCTTTTTTTGTCCTTTTATTTGCGACCTATCTTTTCTTTTCCGGTGACTTGAGAAGCATGTATTTTGTAAAGGGAGTCGCCTGAGAGTGCTTAGAGTGCTCGTAGTTGCGCTTACGAGACGTAGGTAGGCCAGTGATGGCAGAGCACAGCACGGATGTTGCGTTCTAACGAATGTGAGGTGATATTCTAAACAACACTGTGAAAAGAAGTAGGCAGGTTTACAGGAAAATTTTCCTCGACGCAAGTCGTAAAATTACAATTTCTAATCGTAAAAATTTTCAAATCCCTTGGCGAGTCAAAAATGTACTGTCGTAAATTTACAACTTAAATTATAATTCGAGTTTACATAATTTTTGTAAATTTACGACAAAATTTTTCACAGTGATGTGACACACAATTCACATTAATGTGACGTCACTGTATTTGAATGACAGCTATAACATAACGTTACGTGTGAGTTTATACTGGTTCCTACATTCACAATTTTGCGTTACCGTTGTTACACAAAGTGGTATGGATATGGATAAACCAAAATATGTGCCGATTGCGGCCGATTGTTACATTGAAATTTCAATTATGGTCGTAAAGACTTTCTATATTGAAAGCAACGAAAAAAATTCTTTACGCAAAGTTTTATGCTACTAAAAGTAATTTGGCTAAAACTCTAACGTAAAATTATTGTTTGTATGACCAGTGTTACACAAGAAAGCAACACAAAGTGATTTTCAGTGAATGCGTCCCGGCCAAGGGGATTGATTCCTTTGAGCGCGCTCCACTTGCAGAGGAGAAGTTTGTCCCCGCTGCCCTGGCTCTGTATCGCAGGAGAAGCAGACCACCGCCGCCCCGATGGAAGAAGTTGGAGACACTTAGGTCGCTCATCGCCCTGGGGACAGACCCGGCCGTCCCGTCCCCGGGGGTACCGAATCGGGGCCAATCTATAAAGCTGTGATGTGTGTGAGTGTGCGGGGTTGGGGGGTCGCCGCAGCTCTGTGGTGGCCGCGAGCCCGTGATGAGGCCGATGAGGAATGGATGACGGCCAACTCAAGTGTGTGAATGTCACACTTGTGGGTGTGTGTGTGTGGCCTCCTGCACACTGGTGAATAAAGTGTGCATAATTTAAGTTATTTTAAGTTATGATTTTAAACATTACACGGTGTTTAGCTCAAGTTGCGCACTTGCGTGGTGTGCACATTTTAAACGTTTTGTAAACTTTTAGATTCTGCACACTTGGACACACACAAATCTCTATTTCTCTCCCACGCCTGGCAAGCTGGCCGAGGGGCGGTGGCAGGTTGCCTGCACTCACGGGGTCTGCGCGCCTCAGCCGAGTTTGCAGCTGCAGAGTGCAAAATTCAATCAATCGTAGGGGCCGTTTGAACCTGTATCAAAGGGAAGAAGGGGAAACGTGGGAGGGGGGGGGGGGGACGCACCGGAAGTAACAAGACGAGATGAGTCGGGGAGTTACGCCCTTTGATGGGTAGAGGGAGGCTTTCGGTCCGACCGTGACCGGCTCGAGGAAGAAAATGGGACGGACGAGCGGGCTGAGTGAGAGAGAGAGAGAGAGAGAGAGAGAGAGAGAGAGAGAGAGAGAGAGAGAGAAGGGGGGAGGGGGGGGGCGAGAGATGGATAGAGAAAAAGGTCATCCCAAGATTTAGGCGAGCGACTTGAAGGCGCCACGGGCTGTCGTCGTTGGTGAGAGAGGTGGAAAGAGGAGGGGAGGGAGAGAAAAAGAGAAGGGGGATGTAAAATGTGTGTAGGCGAAGGGATGAGGCAAGAGCGAGCGAGCAAGAGAGCGCGTTCTTCGCTCTTAGACTCGGACGGACCACCTCCGTCCCTGCAGCTTTGCACTCCTCCGCCTGAGAGGTGGGCCGCCCATCCGACGCGCGTCCAGTGCGGATCACGGCAGACGGGGAAAAGGAGGAGTGGGGGGAGGGTTGCCGTCGCGGTTCAAAATTACCAGTAAAACCCCCCAAAAGAAAGGAAAAACATCCTTATGTCGCCGTGTTTGTATGGGGATTTTATGGTACAGCTCTTCCTAAACATTGCTCGGCGGGTAAAATTTTCCAAGTAAAATTTTCGCGGAATTTTTCTGGGGGGATTTTTTTCTGGCAATCTTTTTCGGTTAATTGCTGATGATTGTCCTGCTTGTCCGTATTCTACCGCCCTAGCTCTGCTTTGCCGCTGCTACATAGTCGCAGGTTGCTGGCCTTATCTATTCGGCCGGTAGACAGTCACCGCAAGACTGTCTCAACCGGAGGGCAAAGTGTCCTTTTCTCACCATCTCCCAGAGGCTATAGCCACACTTTACACAAGCAATGGTTTCTTCTTATACTGATATATACTGAAATTTTATTCCCCAAACTATGAAACAATGTGTATCCATACATGACTTTCACCTTTTCGATTTGTTCTATATTTTTTATTTTTGCAATGATAAGTTATTTCCAATCCCTGCTTGATTAATGTGTGGTGTGGTCTTCCTGTTCCTGATCGCGTGCTCCCGTCTGCCGCAGGTCGCTGCGCCGCCGTCGCCATGGCCGCCGTCGCCGCCGGCACGCCCCCGCCGTCGCCGAGCCCCGGCCCGGCCGCGGCCCCGGACCTGCGCCGCTGACGGGCCCCTGCAGGGCCTCCTCCGCCACCACGGCGTCGCGCTCGGCCAGCCCCGCCCCCTCCCTCTCCCCGTCCCCCCGGCCCACGGGCGTGTCCCCGACGCGGCCCAAGCCCCTGGCGCTGGCCGGGGCGCGGCTGCTGTCGCCGTCGAGGCCGTCCTCGTCGTCGTCCTCGTCGTCGGGCATCCGCCGGTCCCGCACCCTCCTGGGCGAGATGGAGGGGTGCGCGGGGCGGCTGTCTCGTCGCCGGGGCCGGCTGGTGCGGTCGGAGCGCGTCCACGAGCCGCCGTCGCCGCACTTCGCGTGGGACGTCATCATCCGGGACTCGCTGCTGCAGATCGCCTGGCCCATGTCGCTGTCGGCCGACACCGACTCGCCGGACTCCAGCGGCTTCTTCAGGACCAGGTAGGTGGCCGGCCGCCCTACAAAGAGTACCTAATTTAAGTCCCGCAAAACTACGTTTACGCAAATTGTCCAAAAGTATTAAAAATTTGCTGAAAGTTTCCGTTATCAGAGATTTTAGCGTGGTACGACGCCGTTAACGAGTGAGCCCCACCCCCTCCCTCCCGCTTGTTTTTGACTTTCGCCTGTAAGTGATCGTCCTGAGCGCACATACGCCCTTGGGCAACCTCCGGGCGGGGCCCCTCCCGGGCAACCCTCGGGGTAACCGCCCGTCTGAATTATTACTCATCTCGTCGCATATGCCGCTTGGCGCGCCTGAGCCCGATGCTAGGGGGGGGGGGGGACTTCGGCAGAGAGATGGATCGAGGCAAGTGCCTTAGTTCGTCTCTCTGCCCCTACCCGCCCTCCCTCGAACTCCCAAAGACTAACTCCGTGGTAAGTCACAACTGCTACACTGCCACTACTACTACTACTACTACCACTACGACAACTGCCGCTACACAATCATGCAGGTGCCTCTGTGATGGTAAACAGGAGGCAATGGTGAAAAATGATGTAAAACAAACAGGGGGGGATGAGATTAACTGTGAGTAGATTTACCTTGCGAATCTGCCCAAACAGATTTGCTTTGCATTTCCAAAGCTGCAAAAAAAGTATTCGCCTTTTATATATTTATATATTTTATTGTAATTCATTAAGCACGCCTTCTGTGCCACTATGTTATTTTAATGTAAATTGCCCCTTGTCTTAGAGACAGGAGCTCTGTAGGGGTTAAACAATAAACTTAATTAAAAAAAAAAAAAAAGAACTCATCTCGTGCATTGTCACAGTACATAATATAGTGATGTTTCACGAACTGGTGGTAATGCTGGCTGCGTGTTATAATAATGACGGCTAAAAGTATTAAAGTCATGCGAGGGCCGAGGACAACATCAACAAAGTGACAACAACGGTGAGGCGAGAAGGCCCTTTCGTCAAAACCGTGCGCGACAAACGGGGAGCGAGGAAGGGCCGCTCTGTAAAGCGATACGTCGAAGGCACGGCCGGAGGAGTCGGGTCGGGTCGGGCCCGGCGTGAGCGAGTGTCACTGCCAAGGTCACTGCGGGGTCCCGCTGCGCCGCGCGCTCCAGCACGCAAAGACCCCCGCCGACCCCGCCCGCCCCGCGCGGCGCACGACAGCCGGGGCTCATGCCATATTCACACTTCCAATACCGTCCATCATCAGAGGGGATTCCCCTCTGCTTGCCTCCTTCTCGTCGCCCACCCATCTCGCGCTGTGCTTGAGCGACCTTTTATTTGTTTATCGTCTGATGATGATGCAAAATAGGACTTTATAAAATAAAGTTCCAAAAAAATCTACAAAATGAGTTTTATTATTTCGAAGTTTTTTTTTTTAACACAAGCTTACAGAAAACATATTCCTCGAATTTTCACCAGAATTTTCCTGAAAAAAAATCGGGCCTTTTTTTCTTTTCTTTTTTTTTAAGTTTTCTAAATAGTTTTTACACATTTTAAAAAACAAACACACTCACTAAACACGCGTCCTCCGCAACAACACAGTCTGGCGCGGTTCTTTTGAATCGTCCCGCGAGCCGCACTTGCCGGTCGTTGGACGTCGTCGCCCCGCCCCGCCTCCCGTCGTCTTCCGTCGTGCAGCGCGTGCGGGTGCTGTCTGGAAATGGTTCCGGCTTTCCGGAAGTCCCCACACAACACGACCACCATTAGGTCGTTGTTTTGTTTTTTTGTTCATTTTGTCGCTCTGCCTTTGAGGGATTTGCTGCCGTCGGCCTTACCACTTTTTTTTAAGTGGGGTGGAAGGTGTCGACAGATGATGCCTCGAGGGCGCCATTAAGTACGACAGTGTTTCCCATTGGCTCCGGCGCTGCAAACTTTTCCTCAACCTTCATTCATTTGCAATGGTCCTACTTAGAACCGCGTCTTGGCCAATAATGTTTTTATAGTCCCACCCCTAAATTACCTTCATCTTCAATAAATAGACAAACTAAAACTTGAATTCAGCGTCTCTCATATGTGCTCTTTTGCACTTTTACAATGTTTCCTTTATTTGAAAAGTTCTTGTTTAGAATAAGACCGTCCGCGCAACAGCGCGTATACTGATGGTACAATTCTTTAATATGGTAGTAGCGCACTTTCAAGTGTTCGACAGAGTACGGTAAAAACAACGTCTTAAGGAAACTCCCATAAGTTGACTTTGAAAAAATCTGTAACTTAGGACTATAAAATAGCCATGGCCATGCATAGTATTGTCATGGCCACAAGAACTGATGATCAAAATCGCGTTGCCATTGCTATCCCAATGGGAATTTGAACCTAAGTTTTTTCTTAAAAAACAGAACGAAAACAGACATTGTTTTTTGACCGTGAGGAGCCGAACGTTTGGCATAGTAATTTTGGCTTTTCACACCAAACGGTCCCTCTCTAGGCGCTGTTCCTGCTCGGCTTTGAGGGCTTGAGCGCTCTCTTCTCGACTCGGAGCATCACCCCGGATCTGGACTTGAGAACCACTTCGACGGCCAGATCCAGGCTGAAGCGCTGCGGCGGCGGCAGCAGCCTGAAGTTGCGGACCAGCTTTGATAGGGTCACCTTCATCTCCAGCATCGCAAACTTTTGGCCTGGGAACAAAAAAAGGAAATTAAATTGGACGTGGACTTGGAAGCGTGTGATGTTTCCTCCGTTTGCTGTGCGCCCTACCGACGCAGTTCCTGGGCCCGGCCGAGAAGGGCGTATAGTCGAAGGGGTGCTTCCCGCTCCACCTGTCCGGCAGGAAGCGGTCCGGGTCGAACAGCTCCGGGTCCTCGAAGGCGTCCGGGTTGCGGCCGAGCATGTACATGTTGCAGCACGCCGTGGAGCCGGCCGGGAGGACGAATCCGCCTGGGGGCAGCGATTGTTCAAGTACTCATCAAACCAATAGACGAAATTTCAAAAAATGATGATACATCTCCTTCGAAAAATTAATAAAAAAAACAAATAACAATTGAAAACTGACTGCCGAGGGTGACCTCTTCTCGGATGTCTCGCCAGAACATTGGCACGCTGGGGTACAGCCGCAGGGTCTCCTTGATGACGCGCTCGAGGTACTTCATGTCGGCCAGGTCCTGGTACGTGGCGTCCCGGTCAGAGTCCCCGAAGATGTGTTGCATCTCGTCGAACAGCTTATCCTTTGCGTGATTGAAGCCATAACGTTTAGAAAATATTTTTAAAAAAACAGAAGATAAGTTTGTGCGTAGACCGGAATTACACGAGCCGTGAAAATGTCGCATAAGCCGCAAGTAGGTGGAGGTGAAGGTGCCTGCGGTTTGAAGAAAGAGAGAGAGAGGGAAAGAGGGGGCGGGGTTAGGACCGCAAGGAAGGCGACATTGACTCGACGCACTCATTGCGGATGAGGTTGGGCTCTACCTGCACGTGCTGGTTGGTGGCCAAGGAGTACGCCGCGAAGCTCAGTGCCGCCGCTGTGGTGTCGTGCCCCTGCGCACAAACGGGGTACACTGTCGTGAGGAAGCAAGGGAGGTGCGCCGCGGTCGACTCTCGCGCCACTCTATACTACATCCACGCCGACTCACCTCGAACATGATGGTGTCGACCTCCTCCCTGATGTCCTCGTCGCTGAGGTTCTCCGTCTCGGCCAGCTCGAGGAGGTGGTCCAGGAAGGCGCTCCTCTTTTTCCTTCCTGTGGGCGGGATTTATTGGACGTTGTACGCAGGGCATTTTTTGCCATTATTGGAGTATACATCACTTAAACGGTTCGAGTTCGAAAAGTCATGATAGGATAAGTTAAATTTAAAAATTTAGTTTAAGTGAGCCTATTGATAATTTTATGTAACAATAACATGATGAGAAAAGTCCCTTGAATTTTAAGACCTGGTCTTGGGTGTCAATGCGTTCTCTGTAAGATCCGAGACCAGTTTATGAAATTAAAGGTACGTTTTCACGGCGAACCGTTTAGTAGACGTATCACTGTAAATGTAACGTCCTCTAAAGAACGCAAAATTTTTGCGTCATAAGACGCCAATTCTTGGCGTCCAGGAAAAGATCGCCAAAATTTGGCGTCCAGGAAAAGATCGCCAAAATTTGGCGTCAAAGGACGCCGCCAACCCATTTACAGTGATGGGCACGACCAAAAACGCTAAGTTTGCATGGCCTGGTTGGCTTCCCCTTACCGTAGACGTTGTCCTCGTCCGGGCCGAGTCCGGTGGCGGCGTCCACCTTGGCCTCGAGCACCTCCGACTCGGTCCTGGTGACCGGTGGCGTGGGCAGCCCCTTGGCGCGCCTGCTGGCGGCCGGCGGCCCGTTCCCTTGCGCCGCCGCCGCAGAGGCTCGCCGACGGTCCTCGACGTACTCCAACTTGCGCTTCCTGATTACCTGTTCATCAAGCATAGTGCGGTTGGAAGCAGTTTCCATCCGCCCCCTCCCCTTTTGCCTGTTCCGGCGTTTTGATTCTATTTAATAAAATGATCGTGCCCCGCCTCGGCCCGCCACGCCCCGCCCCGCCTCGCGTCGCCCCGCCCCGACCTCGCTAACCCTGGGGCGCACTGGGCCGTGCTGTATCTGCTCTTA